GGCCCCACCATGCCCCGCACCAGCGCCTGCCCTGGGAACGCGGCCTCGCTGGCGGCTTGGGGGGGCCGCCGGCCCCAGCGTGCCCCCGGGGCGGGGAGAAGGGAACTCGGGGCAACCTCGGGGAGCAGGGCGATGGGCTGCGGACCCGTCCTTTGCAGGTTATGCCACAAGCCCTCGGAAATGGGAGGGGTGGCCCTTATAGTGCAGATTAACCGTGATAGGCAGACGTGAGTCAGAATTTGTTTCATCCAGTAAAAGGACAGCACTGGGGCGACCAGAAGCATTGGTGTGAGCAGCTCCTGATGCTGCTGAAGTGATTGAACCGCCGGTGCGTATGTTAAAGGAGGCTCAGAATGTATTTAAAAAGGCATGCAGAACAGTAGAGGTATGGAAAGATAGAGGCAGTGTGATTCTGCCTCTTTGCATTTACTACAGCGCACTTTAAGGCTGAAGTTCAGGACAAGTAGAAGGAAGACGCAGTAGCCAAGATGCAAGACAGAAATCCTTCTGCAAAGACTACAGCATACAGAAGTCCGTGTGTCAGGTCCAGCTATGCAGATGAGGTGTACTGCACATTTTACAAGCACGCAGAAATACAAGGTTCCCTCCCTTGGGGGTTTCTTACTTTCTGCAAAGGAGGGCATGTTTGCAGATGTAGGTGCCAAGGACGAAAAATGGAAGGTGGAGTTAACCAATGGACAGTATCAAAGTTACACGTGTAAGAGGCAGATGATCTGAAAGAGGCTTGAATAAAGAGGGAGGTTAGCAGAGGAGTGTCTCGAGTAAGCACCTCTTGTCCAAGTGAAACCCTTCAGGCTTAGAAAGATTCACTGCAGCAGTTTGGAAACAATGCTAGACCTTTGTATCTTAAAACACAAAAGGCAGTGGGAGAAATCACTGAAAGGTTTGTACAGCTGAGTATCAGGGATACAGGGATGTCATTGTTAAGAGCAGAGATGAGAAATGTAAATACAGGTACAAAATAGAGATGAGAATTCAATTCAGCAGTGGGAAGGGAACATACTGCATAGGTCTTCACTAGTACATCAAGGCAGAAAATTACGGGAAGCTGTAATTGTGACAACCAGACTCCCACATAACCTTTAGATGGTGAAACAGTCTGCAGTACCCAAGGAAAAAAAAAATGACCAACACATGCAAAGGACTGGTTGAACAAGGCGGCTTTAAATTCTCCCACTAAAATGAAGCAGAATGAAAGTGGTGGAGGCAACTTCGTATATCAAAAGCTTTCTAAGAACAGGAGAGGCTGGTCCTTCAGCCAAGTGGCTGAGAAAGGAAAGGTAAGTGAAGGAAAGTCATCAGTATGAAGTATAAATGAAGTTTTTACAGGAGAAAAATAGCAGATCTTATCTGGGAAAGTAAATACAAAAGGCAGAATGAACTGACAGCAGTAGTAATGTGGGAAATAAAAATAACTGCAAGCATGAAATATAGACATAAAAAGGTTGCAACAGAGTTGGTTTTGAAGAACATATGATACTGGCCAGTCTACATTTTTTTATTATTTTCTGACTCTTGCAACTTTCATATGTAATCTGCTCTTCCTGATGTTAAGATTTAAGGCTAAGGCCAGGCTGGACTGTCTTCTTAAGGTTTGGCATTTTTTTTCTTCTTTTTTTTTTTTTTTTTTAGAGAACTTGGTCCCACTCCTGTTTAATCAACATCAAAAGGTTCTTGATGACTTCAGCAGTAAAGCATCAAAACTGAGTTGAGAACAAACATTGCTGCAGGTTTACACCATCCTTTGCCTTAAAAAATGTATCCCACCTCTTTTGAAAACTTTGTGTATTTCCCTCATGGTCAGATTTGTAGATCTGCAGTAGCTGAGGCAAGTCAGATTTGAAATGTATGTTTTGTGTAGCTTGGTTACTTTGAAAATAGATCTGGTGGCAGGAAGTTACCCAGGGAATGAGATACACCTCAGAGAGAAACAAGTATGACTAAAAAAGCTATCATACTAATTCTATACATCTATTACTTTCTACAATTTCACAGGATGTTTATCTGGATCCTTCTGATGAACTTCACTCATGTTTTTCATCAGTTTTTGCAAGACAGCATCCTTTGGAAGTACAAACCTGTTACTGTCATTGAATTTGGAAAAACATCATCTCAACAGCAGACATTTACCAGGTGGGTGGGGGTGGTGTGGGGGTGGTGTGGTGTGGTTTGTAAATTAATGCTAATGTAGTATTTCTAGAGAGGAAAAAAAAATCCGCTAAGCACTGGGCATCCAAAGATGCCTCTTCAATTTGCCAGCCTTAACTGCAGACCAAACAAATGCCCACTTTGCTGAACTACAGTGTTTTCCCCTACACTGGTCTAATCCAAAACAATTGGGCTTAAGTTTCTTGGCAAACAGCAATCCCTGGGGAAGCCTGCACTCCTGCAATCAACAATAAATGCAGGGACATTTGATTTCTATATCTGACAAACAGGTAAAGCAGCTAAATTAATTTTGGTGAATGATTTCCAGTGCCTTGTGAGGCAGAAGAAACCTCTTCCAAAATTAGTTTCTGAATTACAAGCTTGAGAGAATGAAACAAGAAGAGTGACAGAGAAAAGGTGTTTACTTCACTGGAGAAGTCACATTGCTAAATGCTCACCACAGTGGCTTTAGACAGAAACCGCACGTGTACAGATCTGGAGAATGTCACAATCTGGTATTGCTAAGAAGCCTGAGCTCTGCTTTTACAAAAGCCTGAAACATAAGTAGTTTCAGTGAAGATTCATAATTAGAATTTCTCAAAAAAACGCATCTCTGGAGTGGCTTTAGTATGTACACCCATACAAAGCAGCAACTATAAATGCAGATGAAAACTTGACGGGTTTTCACATACTGTAACAAAAGGAAATGGCTCTTTGGAGGTGGGTCTGTAGAATAAAGCAATTTATGACTTCACGCCTGTGTCCTCTGAACAACCTGAAATTTGTCTGCAGTTTAGGCACCATCCATTAGCACATAACTTCCGTTTCCCTGTATACCAATTATTTACTGTTCTGCTCCCATAACAAATGCCAAATCCAAACTGATAGTGCAGAAGGTGGAAAACCATGAACTTGAGATGTGGGAGGTGTGAAAGCAAATAATGTTTCCACAGCAGGGGTCAGATCTTACAAACGTAGTGACTAACCATTTAAGCCCAAATTCTAGCTCTGTTCATGCAAATTCTACTAGAAGCAGCTGACATAAAAGAGCCTTTACTGGAGCTGATAAAAGGTCCCTTACTGGACCACAGTAGGGGAAATGTGGCCTGGTAGCCTGTCTCAGAAGCAGCCAGTAGCAGATGTTAGGAGGGGAATAGCCCTTTTCTTACAGAATTATGTTACCCTTAGCATGACTACCCAACTTCTGGCATGGCTGTGGAAAAGGTATGGATTATTTTCATATGTCGGGTTGTGATTCCATTATGCCTGCTTCATCAGCAAAGCTAGTTGAAGAAGTTGAAGATGTCTATTTTTCCACTAGCCGTTCATACCTAGTGCTGTCATAGCTTACTGCTGCTTCAGTGGTGCTGATGCAGATGTTTCAAAAGCCATATTGTAAACTGGATCCCTGAAATAAAGCTCAAAAAGAAGGTTAAGAAGAAAGATCAGTTCACTGATCTTGTTTATAGGACCACAGAGAGATGCATCAGCACAACTGAAGGGATTAAACTGAGGCACTGTGACAGAAGTCTTTCAAATTTACTTTACTGATGGAGTAAATTAAGAGGGAACTATACCTGCACCCCAAGACTGGGGAGGAGCCATACCTGGCATACTCTAGCATTTAAAACAGTTATTCTACTTTTCACCTCTCCCCAACCCTCCACCCACACAGTCCTGTGTGAACAACCCGTTGAACTCCCACTCCCTCATTGCGGTTCTTGCTTCAGCTTTAGTAAAAGAGGAACATGGTTTTACTTTCTTAACACATGAATGACAAGAGTTGCAGCTGATAAAGCATTTACATACAGCATCTCTGCTAGTTTGGGATACCAGAGGCATAAATCTCTACCCATTGGTTATGCAGTAAGTATATTTATCTTGTGCCAGAGTCCCTTCTTTCAATAAAGTGGAAGTGACACCATCTTGTAGAAGGGACGTTTGTTGGGGAAGCAGGTTATCAAACAGCTATGCTCTGACTGAAGTCATGGAAGTATCCTCAGAAATATGCCTAAATGAAAACTTTGGTCTTGGGCAGAGGATAACTCTTCTTGGAGCTTGTGAGTCCCCCCAACCCCTGAGATGAGATTACAGCTTCATTATGCATGGTTAGAGACACCACATCCCTGATCTGATATACTAAGAATAATGGCCCAGAATTCCAAGGAATTCTAATATTACCATGTCTTCCATCTAAATGCAATCACAATGCTAAGTAACAGACATTTTCTAGTTCAGTATATCTTCTTCCTAACCTTGTTTCCTCTAGTCCTGTTCTCTTGCCACTCACCGTTTTCTATTCAGCTTTAAATTCAGAGGAAGCTGGCATCCAACATCATTATACAAAAGGGCCAACAGGAATACAAGCCATCCAGCAAAAGTATCTTCACCCTAAACCTGATATTTGGAATCTGAGTTTTTTGCATTGGGCTGACCCAGACTTGTCCAAAATGCCAGCAAAACACATCTTGCTACCTGCCTTAAATAAGCACAGCAGCTCTTTCCTGTAGAAAACATTTTCACACAATCTCTTATAGTTTAGCTCCTTCGGTGATAATTCAGTGGGTACATGCACATAATTTTAGGCTTGTCTGTCCTGGCCTCACTGCTCCCCGGTTCAACAAGCTGCTAAGGATCCTTTATTAACATCCCAAATACCTCCTCTTCATTCTCACTTTCTTAGAGGGGGTAAGAAATGCTTCAGATTCCTGAGTTTAGAAGGGCTT